CTGCGGCCTGGCCCCTTTTCTGGCGCGGCTCTCCCGGGAGCCCCGGCCTCTCGCCCTGCTCTGTTTTCTGCTCGGCGGTTCGCTTCCGTCTGCTTAGAGCTCGTCTGGGGTGGAAGAACAGCAGGTGCCTGTGCGGAACTTACCCCGCTTTCACTGTCTTCCTTAATTTTCTTGTTTCTTTTGCCTTCACCCTTGCTTTCCCCCCTCTCCCCCCCTGCTCCAGCTGAAGTTAATAATTTAGTCGCGTTAAGGACGCGTACTATGCTTGCAATACGAGCCCACTTGTACTGGCTGAAAGTAGTTTTATTTAGTCTTGGAACAGGAAATACAGTCTGTAAACAGCTCGGAGGATCAGAGACATTGTTTAAAGCACAGAACGTGAATTTAGTAACAGTTGAATTACTTAGAGCAAGACTGCAGCAATAACAAAAATATATAAGTGGCAGGCAGTAATTGAGTGATCTGTAACGTTATGGTCCTAAACTATGAAAAAATAATATCTGTCGTACTTTTGTCACATCTTTTGAGTTCAGAGCTATTGTGAACCAGTACTGCTGGTTCAGTGTATGTTTCTCCATATAATACCAATTTCTGATTCCCTTTTGTAGATGTGCCCTTGGTGGAGTTATTTTTTAACTCATTTAGCAGCAAGTAAACAAGTAGGCAGACTTTGTCCAGATCGAGATTCTCCTCCCCCCCCCCACCCCCCAAATTTGTGGGGACGCTCCTCAGAGTTTCATATTTGTATATGAGTTTGGTAAACTAATTTTTTTTTATAAGCTATATTTAAAAAACAGTCAGTTTTTTTCTTGTATGTTTAATTTGGAGAGATTGTAACTTTTGTTTTAGTTTTTGTATGAAAATAGTCATGTTTGCTGTGTTCTTAGGCATGGGAGGTGAATTTGATTATTTGTTAGTAAAACACAAAGTAAAAAGCAAGTGCATAGGTCAAAGATATCTCTTAACATTTTAAAAGGACTTTTTTGGTCTTCAGCTTGCATGTACAACTATGGCATTGGGCCAACAAATAATGTTGTTTTCCTTATATGTACATGAATTATTTTAATTATTCACTGCATTTTTTTAAAAGCTGTGCGTTAGATATGTTTTTTCTAAAAAAAACCCCAAAACCCAAACGCCTAACTCTTGGAAATGGAAGCGATTCTTAAATTGTCTTTTTTATCCTTTGACTTAAAAAGCTTATTTTCCTTATGTTCGAATGCTATTTTAAAAGATGAAGGATTAATGAAACTTTTGCAAAGATTCTGTAAGTCTTTAGTTGTACATCTCAATTTTTTTTGTTTTGTGGGTTTGTATTTAAAATGTGACATTTGATGTCTATATTTGAATACTTTAGTGAGGAGGTAATCCATCCTTTGGGAAGTTGGACGCTTTATTACCAAGTGATATTAAAGGGGATAGGCAAGACTGCAATATTTGTCTTTATATTAGCTTTGAGAATACACAAAAGGGTTAACCACCGTTTTTCTACTTAAGCTTTAATTTTGAGTTGTCCTGTAAATAAGAGTAGGCTCTAAGTCTTGCTTGATTGTCAGCTGGAACTAGAGATTTATTTCCAATGAACAGAACAAATTCCTTACTGCTTACTCACATACAAAGTTTGAAAAAAAAAAATTTCCAGTCAAATATGTGGAAGTGTTCTTAATGTCAGCCCAAAAATATGCTAGACACTTTAGAGAGGAGCAAATCCAAAGAGTTTAAAGACAAGATTGTGATGATAATTTTTTTTTTTTTCCTTTTTCTTTCCAGGTGAACACTGCAAAAGCCTGGGGCTGGCTGAAGAGAGACATTAATTGTGTTCAAGTTAGTGTGGCTTGAACAACTAAAGGATATTTTTGGTACTTTTTAATTTAAGTGGAGGCGGCTTTTTTTTTTGGTGGTGTTTCTGGGTTGTTTTTTTTTTTTAAAACCATGGCAGATGTGGACCCAGACACGTTGCTGGAATGGCTGCAGATGGGGCAGGGAGATGAAAGGGATATGCAGCTAATAGCACTGGAACAGCTATGCATGCTACTTCTGATGTCAGACAACGTGGATCGCTGTTTTGAAACGTAAGTAGTTTTGGCTTTTGTTTATGGAATATTATTTTCCTCTCTCAGTAGCTGTATGTAACATTTAACATTCCTAGAAACTTTCAGCCTCAAAAATGTTTTTACAGACTGAACTTGAGCATAGATCAATGAAACGAAGAGTTTCTGTTAGTGTTGTGTGAAGTACTGTTGTGCAATTAAAAACGTAGTGTTGCGTGAGTGATCTGCAGTGCCTGTTCTGACACATGATCTGATTGTTTAATTTAAAGAAATGTATTCAGAGTTGCAATGTGGAAGCATTGGCTGGGGTTTTTTTTGTTTTGGTTTGGTTTTAATGGTAGAGAAAAGCTTTTCTTTGCATTAAAACTATAATGAACACTGGATATATTTGAGCATCCATACTCTTGCAACACTTTTCTCAAGAGAGATAGTAGCTTTTTCTGAGCTCTCTAAATCCAAACAAAAATCACAAATATCAACCACTGTTCACGGGTATTTTGCCATTTCTTTGAAGAAAGTTGCTGTTCAGGCCACCCTCCTTCTCAACTGCATTAGTACACTTCATATAGCACAGTTCCTGATCTCACTCCTTTTTGTATTTCTCACAGCACAAAATGGTGATGTCACCACTTCTGTTACTTAGTAGTGTTGCTGTGCCGTGTTGTGCTACTTCCTGTGAGGGCCTGTGACTAGTGTGGAAAGGAGGTAGCAAAAGTGTAGCAAAATCACAACTTTTAAATCTGACATTGCTTACATTTTTTTGGTGTGGTGTTTTGTTTTTTTTTTAATTTGTTTGTTTGTTTCCCCAGTTCGTATTTTGACACTTTCGTATCTCTCCTCTTTTCCATCTTTTTTTCATTACTCCTGCAGTCCTCTCTTTTCCATCTCAGAGTATGGCTAGTGTCCTTCTGATACATCCTGCTTCTTAGGAGTGTGAGTTTAGAAGTGTTTAAGAAGGTAGCTCTCTGTGACAGTGTTTAGTTTTGTAGCCTGGAAGAAAACAGTTTTTTACGTCTTAAAAGCTGTTTCTCTTTCACGACTGCTTTTGTCACAGGAAGTGTAAAATTCATACATCTCTAAAATTTGGATCTGTAGTAGTTACGTAACAGCACAGTTTCATACACTGCTTTAGAATTTGAAATTGCCTGATCTTGGCCTTGACGAGCTTACAGGTAAAATTTTGGCTTGAAGGAGACTTACTGTAGGGAGATGCATTCGACTTCGCCATCTGTCCCTTGTAGTACTGATACTGGTGGAGCACTATCAGTAAAGCTGATTTACTGACTTCTTAAATTTGATAGTTAAGAATGAATTTTTCTGACAAATCTAGGTGAACTTCCTGCTTCAGTATATTCAGTATAGGACAGAAGTAGAAGTTTGGGCATAAGCATTTGTAAGGATATCTTCTGGGTATTTGAGGATCAGAAAGGAAATGTCAGCTTTTAAAATATACACCAGTTGTGGGTTTTATGCATTTTATTTAGAACAGACTTGCATCTCAATATAAATGAACTAAATAGTCCAAGTGCTTTTTTTTCCCCCCTTAAAGTATAGATAATGAATGCGCTGTTATTGCAGTGTTGTGGTTTTAAAATTAGTTTTTATGTCTGAAGGAAGAAACATTTAAAATACCATTTGGCACTTTAATGGTTGTTTTGAGCCTTGGTATAATTTAATTTTACGGGTCTTCTAAGTGTTGATCTCTTTTGCTGTTGAAAGTTTCCCTCAAAGACAAACAGAAGAGAATAAGGTGTAAATTGGGAAAAAGTTATCAAGGTTCCCTGCATGTTCAAGTGATTTTACAATAAAAGTTAAAACTTCTACTTTAATTGGTACTGTGAATACACTGAAGATACGGTTCCATGGTATTTGGTGAGCTGACATAGTAGCTCAGTAGTAGCTCATTACCTTCAAAAGGGAGAGCTGCTACTTCTTGTTTATCACTCACCATTTTCATTCCTCCCAGCCATATTCTTGCTTCATGCCAGCGCCAGGGCGTACTGGACTCCTCTAATTCACTAAAAGAGCAAGCTGCTCTTTAAACCCACAGAAGATGGGTTGTCTTCTGCTGTTACAGTGAATTACAGCAGATCAGAGAGGTGTCTGATGAGCACTGGAGGTGGAACTGCGTAACTGGAAATATGGGAGAAGCAGAGAAAGGTATATGCTCTTCAGTGGAGAACTTCTCAGTGGATTGTCTCAGGTGTCTGTGGTATCACAGTCTGCATTTCAAGGTGACTTTATTTATTTTGAAATGCTCTGTAAGAAATAGATGATGCCTTGAAAAGTATTTTTAAAATTTTTCCAAGTAACAGTTCAAGTAGCCGAAACAGTTGTCTGCTGAGAAAGTGTAAATAAATAACCCTTGGTAATATTTTAAAGTTGCTTTTCAGCTATGTCTTTAAAGGAATTATTGCTTGTCTAAGTAGGAGATTTACTATGTGACAGATGGGTTGCCAAACACATTTTCCAGGAACTAATTTTGAAAATGGTTTCAGTGTATGCCCGATTTATAACGTGGACATATTTTTCTGTTGGTAAGAAAACCAACCTCTAGACTTTACAACATTTTTTCTTCTCTTAAGTAAGAATAGCATTCCCAAATTTTTGTATGCTGTGCAGATGTTATTTCAAGATTTTGGAATTGTTTATTGCTATGAATTACATTGACTAAGAAAACTTCAAGAAAATTTTTCATCTGTGGAATTCAACAGCTGGAAGATGGAAGGTGGACTCTTAAACCAGTCATTTTCTTGGAGAATGGAATGTGATGTTTTTCAGGGATCAATTAGAGTGACTTTAAGTATTAGTCCACTTCTACATAAGAAATTATTTGCTTTTATGACATAAGCCAAGAAAAAGCTTATCATTTTGGTGAAGTGCATCTGGTGACTAAAAGCTGCATATGGTAAGGACTGGCAAAGCTATGAAACAAAGACATGTGAAAAATACTGACATGAATGCTATGCATTTTCCCTAAAAGCACAACACTGTTTCCAGACTGATTTCTTAAGATGTTAAGGGCAATACACAGTCTCGCTTACCAAAGAAAGAACACAAACTTGGCGGGGGGGGGGGGGGGAGTATTGAAATGATGGATTGAAAATCTGGTACTACTTTAGTGTAGTGAAGTAATGGGGTTTCTTTGCAAACATATTCTCAAGGAAATGGTGGATTTTAAAGCTAACAATTTGCTTCTGTACAAGAGTAATAGGTATTGAAACTAGTGTTTCAGACCAAATCAGAAAGTGGGCACAAATGTATGGTGGTGTATTTCCTAGTGTTCTGGCAAACTTCTAGCAGTATCACAACAGATTGCAGGGTGTGCAGCCAATAACAGGTGGTGGTGCCAAATAATTGATGTTTCTTTACTTCTCCCCAGATTTACGTATTATATCTGATTAAATTATTTTTAGTGTTACTCATATGTTAGCATTACAAAAATCAGTGGCATATTCATCTTCTGGTGATCATGAGTCAGAGACACTGTTAGTCACTTAGCATGAAGAATGGCTAACATTTTACTAGCAGCAAAAGCCAGTAGTTTGAACTACAAAAACTTAATGAGTGAATAGAAGTGGTTCTGTTAAGTAGTTGAATTGGAGTAAAATAGCTAAACTTGTGATTATAAGTGTTAGTCCCGAACTGTAGTTAAACTGTGTGCTATTAAGTCAACTTTAACAGGAGTTGTAAGTATGCATTTTATATAAGCATAACTGCAGTGGTATATTTTAGTGTTCAATTTATTACAGGTAATTTCAAAGACAATGTAGAGGCTGTGAGTTACTATCTCACGTTATTAATATAGCCCTTTTCCACACAGGTGTTTCAGTTTATTTTTTTTGCCCTGATTGTTTCACTTTATTTTTGGTGGAATAAAATAAGAACTCTTCAGATCTGGGCTTTGTGTTGCTATTTTCTTTCTCTATCTGCCAGCGTAAAAGTATTTAGCAAGAAAGTTTTTATTTAATTATTTTCCTTAATTACAAAGAAAACTTGTTGAACAAGGCAGTAGTATAAACAAATAAAGTAAAACCTGAGTAAAATCTTTTCTGCACTGAACAGATTAAATAATCCTTGTTAATGCTCAGAAAGAGAAAGCCTATCTTCCCCTTTGGCTGCGCCCTAAGTCACCTCTGTATATTTAGCATTAACAGATTTGGTCAGCAAAGAATTATCAAGAGTTATCAGCTTATTTGACAAACAAACCAAAAAATTATACAAAGGATCAGAATTCAGGGTTCTAACGTGTAAAATAGAAATCCTTTCGGTTTATTTTTTAGATCAAATATGTTTATTTTAATTTACATTAAACCTTGTTCTTTCCTAAGTATGTATTCACTAGAGAAAAGGTATATTTCTGCCTTGTATTTGCCAACATGTAATAACAAGTGTAAGAAGAAATTCTAGTGAACCAAAGACTGTGTTGATGTGAGCTAGTGAGGCTGTGGTAGAATAATGTGGAATGGTTTAGCTTTACCTCCACCTGATTGCTTAAAACTACAGGCTCCTGTGTTTATCAGGATTGTATAACTCCAGTAAATCAAAATTAGATATAGAGAGAAGAAGAGTTTTTCTTGTAGAGATAGGGATAGAAGTCTGGAGTGGTGGTTTTCAGGCCTATTTTTAAAGTTTGGGCTGGCTTTAAAAGCATCTTTGTAATTCAGACAGTGGTAAAGTGCCCTTTAACGCATCTAACAATCATGATAAAACTAATAGACTGAGGGGGCAGCTCGATCTGTATCAAGGCGGTTTCATGTTGTGTGTCCTACAGATTTGCTCTTTTTTTTTTTTTTTTTCCCCTCAAAATAAAGTCAGGCTGTTACTACAGTTTTGTGCTGGAGTGCAGCCATGAGGTAAATTAGGATAAGTATTGCTGTCAACAGTAGACTACGGTTTTCATTATTTTAAACCAATGAAAGCATATGTTCTTAGTGAATTATTGGTTTGGACTAATGCGGACATCTCAATACGTGAAATGTTAGAAGCTTTACAATGGCAAGACTTGTGTGATGCCTACT